AGGTGCACGTGCCCGTGCTTAATATTTTAAAGTACCTACGGTTATTTTTGTAAAATCTCTTGGTGCCAATTTCGAAAATATGCACTCCTGCGAAAGCGGGACACGATTCTTTATTGGGACAAAAAGACGGGACGGCAGAAGCGGACCCCAAAAACGGGACTGTCCCGGCCAAAACGGGACGTCTGGTCACCCTATATATAATAGCATTTTACTTTTCTTCGGTGCGCACATTCTTTTTAAATGGACTTCGTTCAACGGTACTTATTTGCTTTACAAGTCCTACGGCGGCTTGGTTGGCTGCGTGCCGAGGCCTTTTAGAGCAGGAGGTAGCAGACGACGAGCAAGGGGCGCAACTCCCCCGATTGGCTTACTTGAACGTCCCACTCTTTCGCAAGCAGGAGGCGACAATGACCCTTTCGTGCTTGTTGTTTGATAAGACAGGCAGCTGTCACCGAGGGCGGCGGCAGGTTTGCCCTCATTGGAGGTTCAGTGGCGGACGGCGGGGTGTTGTATTACAGGGGCTAGTGTTACCCTAGTTCACGCGGCGACAGTGTGCGGCGGCACATTACAAGGCGACACAATGGGCGCTGCCAACGATAAATGTTTGGCGGGAAACAAAAGGGTGGCGAGTTTTGCCGGCGAATACAAACCCCCAACACCGCGTGGTACCGTGTACGCGCGGAACACTGGCGCGCGTTTAAAGGCCGACGTACAACATTAACGGTTAAGAGTTGAGCGTATTTGTACATACTTGTAAATATATAGCTTGAACTTTCGAATAGTTGAACACGAAGAAAGAAAAGACAGCGGAGGACAAACGACTACCAAAGGTGTTTTAGCGCAAACTTGTTCCGTGCGCGTTTGCTTCATTCCTAGGCCAAAGTAGAGCATGATAAACTTATTACCTGAATAAACCTGTTGCACTAAAAACGATTACATCGGTTTTCTGCAAGGAAGATAATCCTCTTATCACTCCCCCTCTGCTAAGCTGCGGGGAGGGTCAAGTTGGAGCAAGCTGCAAAGTGGAGAGGACATCGAAAGGGAGGTGGGCAAAAGTGGAAAGCGCGAAGTGTACGTCGTGACCTGCCGGCGGCGTGCGCATTTGAGGCGTGCGTCACAATAGGTCAATCAGGCATCGCGGATTTCCCCCAAGGTTTCACTCCGTGAGGAAGCAGCGTTTCAAAGGCGAGTTTCCCAACTGAGTGTTCTAGTAACGTTGAACGAAGCCAACGCCCCTGAGAGTGACCAAAACAGCTGTTGGCGCCGTCAGCTCTTTCCAACGGATAGCGTCTCCGGTTGGGTGCGTGTCCTTCGCCACTTGTGGCTTCGCCTCTGGTGGCGTCCTGTCGCCTCCAGAAGCTTCCTACCTCCATTGCCTCCAAGACTCCTGCACCTGTCGTCGTGTGTTTCCAGCGGAGCCTCTCAATTAGAAAGAAAAGAAGCAATGGTGAGGATTACATTTAAAAATTCAATAACTCCACGGAAAAAAAAATTATATTAGCCCATCATTTATGTGACTGAGATGTGCCTATTGATGTGGGGAATCAATTTGATTCGAATCAGCAACTATCGAAATCTTGCCTTTGAGGCAATTCCAAATTATTTATAGTTTCCTAAATGACAAGTGACAATATTTCAGAAATTGTGGTATATTGTTTCATTTTGTAGTTTTGGAAGAAACCACACGGGCTTTGGCAGGCACACTATCTCATGATCCAGACAACCAAGTATGTTCTACTACAACGCCAAGGTGAAACATAGTCCCTGTAACAAAGGGAGCAGATTGGATTTGCTTTCTATGCGTGGTATTCACTGGACGCCATATTTGAGGAAACTGCTCACAGCGCATGCTCGGGAAAAGTTTCCCGTCAACTCTCGGGCAATCACAGGGGTATGAGAAACTCTCTTCTCACCCGGACTCTCCTTTGTATGCCCCAGGCTTCCCCCAGACATCGCTATTCTCCCTCCAGAAGATTATAGATTAACTTTCACTCAAAATTCGTACTAAGGCAACTTTCCCCTCTTTTCCCCGGTGGTATGAAAGCAGCAGCGAGCTCAGCTACGACCGCCAGTGAATACAATCTATATGAGAAAGCATTAAAAGAGTCAACCTCAAATACAAAGATCGGCATTTGATAAATGTATTCATATCCATACGAATATTCAAATTCTAAGAAAACAAACCTTAGCACTAAAGTGGGCATGGGCCCATGCTCACTGTCCTCTGGTTCAATCAAGCCTTTCTTTGAGCAAGACTTTCATCATCGGCATTGGGGGTCACGTGACCCCCAATGCCGATGATGTCATCACTGACGTCACTGATGACGTCATCAGTGACGCTGGCGATGCGGGTACCGATGACGTCATTAGTGACGTCACTGATGACTTCACCAGTGATGATGACGATGACGATGCGAATGTCGGTGACGTCATCAGTGACGTCGCTGATGACGTCATCAGTGATGATGACGATGACGATGCGGATGCCGGTCACGACATCAGTGACGTCACTGATGACGTCATCAGTGATGATGACGATGCGGATGTCGGTAACATCATCAGTGATGATGACGATGACGGTGACGTCATCAGTGATGATGACGATGACGATGTGGATGCCGGTGACGTCATCAGTGATGATGACGATGACGATGTGGATGCCGGTGACGTCATCAGTGATGATGACGATGACGATGTGGATGCCGGTGACGTCATCAGTGATGATGACGATGACGATGCGGATGCCGGTGACGTCATCAGTGATGATGACGATGACGATGCGGATGCCGGTGACGTCATCAGTGATGATGACGATGTGGATGCCGGTGACGTCATCAGTGATGATGACGATGACGATGTGGATGCCGGTGACGTCATCAGTGATGATGACGATGTGGATGCTGGTGACGTCATCAGTGATGACGATGACGATGCAGATGCCGGTGACGTCATCAGTGACGATGACGATGTCGATGCCGGTGACGTCATCAGTGATGATGCCGATGACGATGTGGATGCCGGTGACGTCATCAGTGACGATGACGTCATCGGGGGGTCACGCGACATCGGCGGGGGTCTCGGGGGGTCACGTGACCTCGAGGAGGGGGTCACGTGACCTCGGGGGGGGGGGGGGGTCACGTGACCCCGGTGGGGGACTCGCGCGGTGCATTATGGGACATTTTCCATGATGCACCGCGCGGTTACGCCGACGGCGACGGCGACGCCGCTCAAGCCGGGAACGGGCCCCTAAGAGCTGCGCTCTAAAAAATTAAAGTCTGTGGGCGTCTGTGCCCTGAGCGACGACTACTACTATGTTCAAACCCCTCCTCCCTGGAAGTTTGTTGCTTAGACCCAAGCACCCTGCAGTCCACAATCAGTGGAATCGGTGACTTGGAGGAGAGTGGCCCGAGAAACAGTCACCACAGGGTCTATTCTGGTTAGAGTTAAAGGACAATGTCTGAAACTCTACATCGAAATTTCTGCGCAGCACTGTGAAAGGCAGGAAGAGGGGAAAAAAAATTCCCATTTGTATGAATTTTGAGTGGCAAGCTAATCGCGATGCCACAAAGGGACGCCTGGGAGGCGCAAAAGAATGTCTGGGAAATTCCTCCTTTCCCCCTTGTCCAATCACTTGCATCATACTAGCACCTGTACTTTTGGCAACACTGGACAAGTTGCGAGATGAAGAAAATGACAGCAGTCAGTATCAGTTGAATCTTGCACAACCAGACACACAACGCTCGAGCGTCACATCGAACTCGAGGTGCCTCGCCTCAACTTGTGGAATTGGTTTTGTCCCAGCATGTCCCATGCCTTATCTTAATTTTGAAGAGTACCCCTTCACATTTTGACCGGGCATTCTCCAAATTGCACATTGAAAACGGGAAGAACGTGAAGGCGTTATTATAACCGAGGGAAAATATGCCTCCGCGAGATGCCCGCCGACAGCGAGTACGAGGGCTCAACAAATTCTGTAACTCCTCGTTTTGAGTCTTGCGCATTTATTGGCATTCCGTTTTCAATGGTAATTACCTTTGGCATCCGCGTCCGACACCTCGCCAAAATACACCGCTGTTTCGGAAATAAACGTAGAAATACATCCGTAGATTTTTCTCGGGAATAAACTTAAGAAAATCTGCGGCCCAATTGTAACTATAATGCCGCGTCTTTGAACGATGAGCTTAGCGTCCCCTCCCGCCCGTCAAAAGCGATCCCGAAGTAACACATGGAAGCTGCCATGATGCAGGACATTTTGTGCTGGAAGTCCCGGCAAAAAGTATGAGGGAGTGTTGCCGTCGTTGCAGATTCCTGGCTGCTTCTGTGTCAAGCTGAAGAGCGACATACTGCTAGGTACACCAGAACCGCTCAGACACCGACAGGAGGGACATGTCACGGGGCGGAGGGAGCACTCTTTAGGAAACGGCAAAGACACCGGTGGGACACGTGTTCCAGGCACCATAGTTGTAACCAAAACCTGCCACAGCAGGATAATAAAACCTGTCTCGTCCCTCCCACGGGATGGCTTATTCCTAACTCCAACACATGCTATAAGCAAATCGTTTAAAATCACTTAAAGGGCCCCTGAAAGCAAACAAAAAATGTTTTATTAAACTAATTTTAATAAATAAATAATATTTTATTAAACAAATTTTTAATAAATAATAAAAATTAAAATAATTTTTATTATTTATTATTTTTATCACATAAAATAAAAACTTTTAGAACAATATTAATGGTGTGATACGCGATTTAGTCGGTAGTCACCTCCTTTCAACATGTTTTCTCTCTCAGCCTTTCGGGCGCGTGGGGGAGAGGTGGATTGGCTTCGCCTTCCTTTTGAAGTGGAAGGAGCGAATGACCATTCCCTGATGTCATGGACGTTGCGCGCAGAATTTCAAATAAATCTATCGCCGTCAATATTGCTCTCAAGATTAATTTTGGTTTTTGCGTAAAATTTATTTTTTGACACACGTGTCAAGAAATAAATTTTCTTAAAACTGTCAAGAAAAAAATAATTAAACAAAAAAAAAACAAATTGTTTAAGAAATTTTTGTTTTTTTCTTTTCAAGGGCCCTTTAAGATATATACCGAGGGAACATCTTTCAAAGCACGAGGATTGTCCCAAATGGATTGAATCTTGTCAGAAACATTCCGAACTTTGATTTACACCCCAAAACTAAGTGGCAGAAAAAAAATTTTTTACAAATCTCTGTAATGCGAAATTAGAGCTCAGCTCTTGAGGAGGAGGGGAGGATACAGAGGTGAGGGTATGCCCTTCCTTTTCTTCTGTACCCTCCTCTCCTCCCCTCCCGACATCAACACCAATTCAGTTTCCCCACTAAATTTAGTGGGGAAAATAATGTCACATGACCTCATCACCAATTCAGTTTCCCCACTAAATTTAGCAGGGAAAATGACGTCATATGACATTGCGTCACGTCACCCACGAACAAAATCAATTTCTCCGCTAGATTTCGCGGGAAAATAGAAGTCACATCACCTCAACAACAATTCAGTTTCCCTGCTAAATTTAGCGTGGGAAATGACGTCACATACCCTCGACACCAATTCAGTTTCCCTGCTAAACATTTGGGGGATATGACGTCACATGACTTCATGTCATGTCACCCATGAACCTTTTCCGCTAGATTTAGCAGGAAAATCGACGTAACGTGACCTTAACACCGACTGAATTTCCCGCTAAATTAAGCGGGGCGATTACGCTGACAGGCGCCCAAGAGTTGCGCTCTAAAAGAAACCAATCTCGGGGAACTCGGGCACAAACTCTGGGATTACTCTAAACAGAGTGGTCAGGCCTAACATCTCCGCTAGACCTACAAAACATAGGATGAGGACAGGTTTTTAGAACTATGCGAGATTTCGGAAAAGACGATGGTGCTGAAGTAGCGAGTGACAGTTACAAGATGTTCACCGGCCACACATATATATATGCGCAAACAAAGATAAAAATAATGCGAAAACTGTAGCAGCAGGTAAACAGTGCTCCTAAAGCACTGCACTTGCTGTTAGGCATCCAAGACAGTTGCCCAGCACAAACTCTAAAACCTGCTGGTTGCAATCCCAGTCACAGTGTCATGACACTCACGGAGAGAGCCGGGAACTTATTTCTTGCGTGCCTTTCCCTGCTTCTCTTTCCGCTTTTTGACGTGCTTCGGCAACTTCGTTTGCCTCTTCTCCTTCTTGGCATCTTTCACGGCCTTCTTCCTTTCCTTCCTCTCGTCGGCCGTCTCGCCTTTGGGCCTCGCAGCATTTGCAAACTTGGACGTCTTCTCGTCCGTTTCATCGTCGTCTGCCTCCTCGCAACTGCTCCCTTCATCTTGGGAACCTTCGGAACTTTCAGAACCCTCCAGGAGCGACGGCTTCTCGGCCGGACCAGACAGATCCGACTTCATGCCCGTGACTGTGTGGTACAGCACTTCCTCCTTATGCCCCTGCACCCTGGCCACGTCCTTCTCAAAGTCAACCACCTGGTCCAACCTCTGTGGGATGAAGGCCCTCTTAAAGACCTCCTCCTCCACCACGTCCATCCCTCCAGATTCCCGAAGCCCCGCCTCCTCGCTGGCTCGCTCCAAATACGCGTCCATATTGCCCTCGTTGACGGTCGGATCCGTAACAAAGTCGAAGAGCTGCCGCACGCTCATGGTTCGCACATCCTTCCTGCCGAAGAAGTCCGTGATGTTGGTGCAGTCCTTGCGGAGGAACTCCAGCGCGTTGGGGTGGTCGTGCTCCACGGATTGGGACACATCAATGAGGACAACCTTGCCCTCATGGTAGAGCAGGTTGTACTCGCTCAGGTCGGCGTGGACGAGGCGGCAATCGTGGAACAGCCTGCGCATCATCACCACGCAGTCCAGGTAAAGCTCCCGGCTCTTGGAGGCGCTCATCGGGACGTCCTTGAGCTTCGGTGCGGGCCAGCCGTCTTTGCCCACAAAGTTCATCACCAGGACGTGGCTCCGAAGGACCACGGGCTTCGGGCAGGGAAGTCCCGCAGCGTAGATGCGCGACAGGTTGCGCATCTCCTTCTCGGCCCAGGTACGCACCATCTTGCGGGGGTTGCTGCTACAATAGCCATTGCGGAACCGGAACTCTCCTGCGAGAAGTGGGGACACCCTGAGGTTAGAATCTTCGACCAAAGCCATCTCTATGATTTCATACGGCCAGTATCGTCCTGGCATGTGTCCATGAAACCAAACATTTAGAAAAGTCGGGAGAACTCTATGACAATGCTGAGGAAGTCCGCAATCAGGTATTTTCTCTCTGTTTTCGTCAGTTTGAGAGCCACCTTTAATAAAACCATTCTAGGCAACTGCAACAGGGTGCTAAAGAGTTTTAGAAACCAAACTGTACCCAATAGCGTACACTCCTATAATTGTACCAGGTCTTGACAGTTATATGCCTGTTGATTGCAGTCGGAAGCATTCAATCGCTCAGCAGTGTTTTAGTCTAAAGTGCATCTCAAAAGCGCTTAAGCGTGACAATCGTGTCTTTATTATTTAGGAAAAATATAAATTATTATGATAAAATACTATACCAAAACTTGGCACAAGAAAGCATATATTTTGGGACTTTGCTCAACTCAACCAAGCCTTAAGTGCCAAATCTGACTCCACCAGGTCCTTTCCATCATTTCATTCTCTATGCATCCTTGAGCTCAAACATCTTCGTCTGAAGGAGCAGGTGTACTTAGCCCATGAAACAAAAGAGGTCCTGCAAACCCAAAACCATTTATATACTACCAGTTATTTCTAGAAGCTGGTACGATGGCAAACCATAGCGCAAGTGTCAGAGAGGCATCCTAGCTTCCAGGGCAGGGGGTACCAACACCTCCTATCGCCACCGACAGCTTGAAGCCTGGTTCAGAAAGTTGCACTAGTTGCGTTTGGAGCGACCGACACGAGAGCAATGACAAAGGCACTGGGACAAGCGTTCCATCCTTACCATGGTAAAAATGTCTAAAAAATGATCAAAATATTTCCTTTAAGAACTACTCAGCATGTGGCTAATTATGATAAATTTAAATGTAGCCACTAAGATGCTCTTCAGAAGTACAAAAGAAAGGTTTTTTCACAAATGTCTAAAGTGCATAAATTTAAATGCTCAACTTGGAATTTGTGTGACTATGAGAATGAAAGGGGCTATATCAAATCATACAATGATTTCGAAAAATCCTAAATATTCAAAGTGTGCCACATATTCACCACTATCAGTTCTGTAACTCTCTAGCTGACACTTGCTTCTTTCGGTTTGTTGGCAAGTACGCTTCTGTGACGTCAAATTAATCAGAGAAGCTGCTCCATAGAAGACCTTGGTTTGTCATAGCACTGATCTAACTTCTCCCCTGCCGCGGCTTTCACAGCTCGATGCAGACATAAAATGTGTGCAGCGGGTTAAGGACAGCCTAGAAAGCTAAACTATGCTCTCCGACGAGCCACCGTCGATATTCCGGAACTCTGAGACGAAACGTAGCTGCAGGAGCTCAAATCAAATGGTCTAACATCATCCACTGTCCTCTCTGCTGCTGTCAATGAAAACACAAGCAGCAAAAGCAGTTCAATCACGCGATTGAGGCAGTCTTTGTAGCGGTCTTCAATGCCAGCAGGGGCCCTTATCTACACGGTGGAACCAGGGGACCGGGACATTGCCGCCTGCTACATGTCGTGTATTTGTTTTCGCCATGACAACCGATATCGAACACCTCAACTACCGCGTCACTGGCGCAATTCTGATGAAAGACGAGCATGCTCTGCTCCCACTTCTCCATGCTCCGTACATTTTGTAGCCGATAGTCAAGACGACCTATGCGCTACATAATCTATACTACATTAGAAATATCAAAATATAATATTGTAAGACATTGGAGTAACATGCACTTCCTACTGGAAACTTATATTTTTAAATGCAATTTTTTATATTTTTAATGCGAAATTCATGTTGATAACAGAATCAAACAATTTTTTAGCATATTTAGAGGCTTAAAACTGAAAACCAGTGCCTCTACCTCTAACGGAATGTATTCTGGGTAAGACGAGAGTGTAAAAAAAACGCAACGCAAAACAAATTAACAAAAAAATAAAATGTTCTTTTTGTACAGCGCGCTGAAATTGAACGAAAAGTGGAAACATTCTTCGTTTCATAATTTATTTCTCAGTACTCATACATGATAAAGGCACAAACTTTGCTTAAAGGCCGACTTACGAAACCATTTTCCGCAGGGTAGGAAAGTGCTCCCCAACGACCTTCGCTCCCTCCCCTCTCGCACTCCTTCCTCCTCCTCTCCTGAAAAGGGCGGGTCCGGAAGCTAGTCTCCGTGGAAAGGAGAAGGGGTTTCCTCCTTTCTGGGTGGCAAGGAGGATACCTCTTCTGCCGCGGAAAACGGTTTTGTAGGTCATTCTTTAATTTGGAAGGCAATGAAAGGTTCTACACATGGTATTATTTTAAAAGCAACGCTGAACATAGCAGACTCAATAAAAAACATCCACAATTTAGGACAAAGTTGTTCACGGAGGCATGTTTGGGGATTTTTAAAAAGATTGGAGGCGTCGAATAATAAATAGTAGATATACTGTCGTTTTACGCACTTGCACATATATCACACTAAAAAATTATTTTGAATACTTTGAGATTGAGAGTGATAAAAAAAAAATGAAAGCCGTTTACAATCCCATATAACACCGGATTAGAACGCAGCTCTTGAGGAGGAGGAGGGGAAGGTACGGAGAGGAGGCTATGCCCCTCCTCCTCTCCAGCTCGCCTCCAATTTAGGGAGAAATTTTCCACTAAAGTTAGCGGGGAAATTTTTCCGCTACATTTAGCGGGGAAATTTTTTCCGCTAGATTTAGCGGGGAAAATTTTCTGGTAGATTTAGCAAGTAAAGTTTTCCGCTAAATTTAGAGGGAAAGTTTACCCATAATGCACCGCGCGGTTACGCCGACGGCGACGCCGCTCAAGCCGGAAATGGGCGCCTAATGCGCCGTTCACACCCTTGCAACCGAGTACGACCGAGAGAGACCAGACCGGTTTTTAAGCCTTTTGCGACTTCTTAAGACCGGATGAGCTGCAGCAGTGCTGGTCCTAAGACATTGCAAGAGGCTTAAAAACTGGTCTGGTCTCTCTCGGTCTACTCGGTCGCAAGAGTGTGAACGGGCCTTAAGAGCTGCGCTCTAATAAAACGCCACACACGACAATCATCAGAACCTTGGCATTCTTTCGCGCTGCTTTGAGATTTTTTTTGTCAGAAACTAAACATGTCAGGACATTAAAATAAAAAGGATTGTTCTTCTTGGAACATGCGCCACAAAATATAAAAATCTGAAGCAAAATACAAAATATGACAGCACCTCGTTGCCTGAAACCAAATAAAACCGCGTGCGTGCGTGCGTCACAAAAATCTGCATTTCATACAGTAATTTATAAAGAAAAGAACTCAGCGTAAGACACCCATCTTATTTATGATAGAACATTCCGAGTCAAAAACGCCACTCCCACCAAGCTGCCAACCAAAAACGTCATTCATACAAAAAAAAAAAAAAAAAGGATTCATTTACGGATTGACCAGCGCAGTTTGGCGCAATTTGCGTCTTTAGGAGCAGGAACGTGCAGGCAAAGGGGTATTTATCAAAATGGCACAACTGGCACAGCTGAACCACCCCTGTAAAAGGGGTAGTGCAACGATTTTAATGTTGAAGGAATTGGCAGTTTGCATTTTTCATATTGTTTATCCAAGCACAAGCGACCCAGAAACGTGTCGCCTTGCCCCGAAAAACTGCTGTTCAGCTGTGTAATCACAAAGAAAGAAACAAATTTTTTGCCGATCTGCAGTTGCATGTGGCGGTTACGAAAACTATGGTGACAGCGTCTCTGAAGGATACGCGGAAGTGAGCAAAGCCTGTCCCCCTCCGCTGCTACATTCGACGTCAACGCCGTGGCGAACAGACTTTTGTGTCGATCGCTTACCATGACTTTCGACGGTGCTAATTCATTAAAAGTCGATAATCGCGGAGGAAGTGGCTGGGGTCTCCAAAGAGAGAACCCACGGGGAAACCATGTGATCCCCCACAGTATGTCACTCGAAAGGCAACGTGGAGAGTTGAGAGGCACTTTGACATTATATTTGTCTAATTTTTTTAAATAAAAACTAGCATTCAAAAAAAATATATCTTTCACTTCTTCGTTCCATAGGTGACGCAGATTAATTTCCGCAATTAATAAAGTCCAAAAATCGTTGCACCACACCTCTAGCATGCATTCCTTTCAAGCTCCTCGAGCACACAGTGAACAAGCACATTACCGATTACCCCGAAAACCATACACTTTTCAGCGACTCCCAGCATGGTTTCCGATGCAGTCGCTCTACAATCCTTCAGCTTATTAGAACTGCGCATGATCTGCCCGGCGTTATTAACGATAAAGGGCAAGCCGATGCGGTCTCATCAATTTTTCGACGGCCTTTGATGCCCTATGACGCATTCCTCGTTTTCACGGGTGTGCCACTAGGTGGAAAAAGAAGAAGTGAAACGGTGGGCTCAAAGAGCGGAAGCGGTGGGCATTTTTCGAACTGGCTGGAGCATCCGGTCTCGGCGACGCACCGAGCAAGCCTCGGCTACGCCCCGAGGAACGGGACTCGGCCTGGTACATCGCTTCGCAAGTCCGACATCCAAACACTGAGCACTCAGCCACCAACCACCAGGGCCCGTTTTCTCGAACGCGAACTGTGGGTTAAAGTTAACTATTGTCCCTAGAAGAGGGAATTCTAGGTCACATGACTGGAAGAGCAGGGGCGCCCAGGGAGGAGCAGTACCTACAAGCAAAATGGCCGCGATGTCGCTTAAATGGGGGCTAGTAGTTCTTGGTTCTTCTGAACATTCATTTCGATTCCTTTTGTTATATTAATGAAGCACCATCAACCTATTAGCACGTCGGGCAAAGCGGTAATTTAGAAGGACTACTAAATTAACCGACGGCAGCATTCCGCGAACGCATCACTCTTCAGCAGTCCGGGATCCAAGACATATGACGGTACATAAGCCTTGCAAGTGTTTTTCTGGTGAGTAAAAAAATGTTTTGCGAACGAGTGTTGGTATATATTTATAT